AACATTTCTACATTTGGTTGGGTAATTGTAAAGTTAATTATTTTTGTTAAGAATGCCAAATAATAATGGGAAATGCATTAACATAACTAAATTCGTATTCAATTATTTTTGGTTAATTTTAAGAATGGAAAATAATAATTGTAACTTACTCAATTCATTCCGTTTGGAAATTTTAAAATAATATTAATATTCTTTTACTATATATTTAAAAATATATAGCATTATATACGCTCAGCCATATTCCAATCATTTGATACCTTAAATATACTTAATATCATGAACTCTACATATGTCATTACTAAGAGCTTACATAACCATACGTATTAGTTTATTAATTTATTCTAACATTAGGCATAGATCCAAAAAATATGTAAAAAAATATTTATTATGAATAACCTATTTAAATTAAGTTATTAAATGAATACATGATGATGGTGAATGCTGGCAAAATTTCAAAAATGATACATCAAGTTGAGCGTTGACAAAAAAAGAAACATTTTGTTGTCCCTCACGAAAAATAAACATGTAGTTGGCGATTTGGTCGGATAAGATATATTAATCACCCCACCTAGATAAAAAAAGCTGACGTGGCCGGATTAAGTAGTGACATGACATTATAACTTTCCTTAATTTCCTACGTGTTATATGTGTGGTGTAATGTGGCATCATTATCTCCAAATACACAACTACACATAGGTAAATAACAATAAAAATAAAATAAGAAAATCCAAAAATAAATAAATATAAAGACACATCAGCAAAAAAATAAAAATTAAAATTAAAATAATAAAAATACTAATAGAAAAAAAAATAGAAAAATAAAAAATCCAAAAATAAAAAAAAAATTAAAAAATATATTTCGTTCTATTTCTTTAATTATATATTAATAAAATATTTAAAAAACTATATTTCATTAATATATATTAAAAATTATTAAAAAATTAAAAAAATATTTTGTTAATATTTCTTTATATATAAATATATTTCACTAATATATATTAAAAAATATTTCGTTAATAATAATAATAATTGTATATAATTTATTATATTATCTAATATAATAGTTTACATAAAATTTTATTTACTTAATATATATATAAGTATATTAAATATAAATATAAATCACAAAATATAAATTTATATTAAAAAAATAACATTTCAATTTATTTAAAAAATATATATATTAAAAAATGTTTTAATTTATTTAAATATAAATATATATTTGTGATTTATATTTATGTTTAATATATTTATATAGATTAAATAAATAAAATATTATGTAAAGTATTATATTAGATAATATAATAAATTATATATAATTATTTTTTATTAACGAATTTATTTTTTCTTTTTTATATATATTAGTGAAATATATTTATATTAAACGAAATATTTTTTCTGCTTTTTAATATATATTAATAAAATATAATTTTTAAAATATTTTATTAATATATAGTTAACAAAATAAAACGAAATATATTTTTTCTATTTTTTTTTTATTTTTGGATTTTTTTCTATTTATTATTATTATTTTATTTTATTTTTTTCTGATGTGTTCTTATTATTTATTTTTGGATTATTTTTATTTTTATTTATCTATATGTAGTTGTGTACTTGGAGAGAAGGATGACACATTACGCCAATTATGTAACACGTAGGAAATTAAGAAAAGTTATAATGTCACGTTACTACCTAATTCAGCCACGTCAGCTTTTTTATTCAGGTGGGGTGATTAGTGTATCGTTTCCGACCAAATCGCCAACTACATATTTCTTTCATGAGGGATAACAAAATGTCTCTTTTGTTGACAACGTCCAACTTGGTGTATTATTTTTGAAATTTTGCCGGTGAATGCTTAACAAAATACATGAATCATATTAATGTCAATAAAAAATGAGCATTATTAATGATGAATGCTTAACAAAATACACCCAAACTTACCAAGATACTCGAGTACAGAATAGGAGTAATTCACGCTATAAATCTCATATTCAAAATATGCGTCATTATATTGTTCTCTCATAATTCAAGAAGACTGACATCTACATTAATATTCTACAATTTTTGTGTATACCAAGTTTCTCGGATACGTTGATTAATTTTTTTATTTTGTCACTAATAAGTATTTTATATTTGATTTTTTAATACATAAACTTTTGTTTCGAAACATGATTATTGCGATGAAAATATGTTAACATATTGAATGTTGGTGTTGTGTTCGAAACTAAGTTTTTTCGGAGATATTGATTAATGTTTCTATTTTGGTCTTGAATTACTAAATTTCATGGCTTTTTTCAATACATAAACCTTTGTTTCAAAACATGATTATTGCGATGAAAATATGTTATCCACATTGAATGTTAATGTTGTGTTGAAAACCAAGTTTTTTCGTGGATGCTGATTAATTTTCTATTTGGTCTCTAATTACTACTCTCCATGGGTTTCAATTTAAATACATAAACTTTTGTTTCGAAACTTGATTTTTGCGATGAAAAGATGTTATCCACATCGAATGTTGGTATTTTGTTCGAAACCAAGTTTTTCAAAAAAGTTGAGTAATTTTTCTATTTTGGTCTCTAATTACTATCTTCCATAGCTTTTTTCAATACATAATTTTTTGAGTCGAAACATGGTTATTGAGATGAAAGTATGTTATCCACAGTGAATGTTGGTGTTGTATTGGAAATCAAGTTTTTTTCGGAGACGTTGATTTATTTTTCTATTTTCCTCACTAATTACTATTTTACATGGGTTTTTTTTAATGCTTAAATTTTTGTTTCGAAATATGATTTTTGCGATGAAAATATGTTATCCACTTCAAATATTGGTGTTGTGTTCGAAACCAAGTTTTTTGGGAGACGTTGATTAATTTTTCTTATTTGGTCTCTGTTTACTTTTTAATACTTAAACTTTTGTTTCAAAACATGATTTTTGCAATGAAAATATGTTATCCACATCAAATGTTGGTGTTGTGTTTGAAATCAAGCTTTTTCGGAGATGTTGATTAATTTTTCTATTTTTGGTCTCTAATTACTTTCTTACATGGCTTTTTTTAATGCATAAACTTTTAGTTCGAGACGTGATTTTTGCTATGAAAATACTTTATCCACATCAAATATTGGTGTTGTGTTCGAAACCGAGTTGTTTCAAAGACTTTGATTAATTTCTTTTTTTCTTATTACAATTTTCCATGTCTTTTTCAACACTTAAACTTTTGTTTCGAAACATGATTTTTGCGATGAAAATATGTTATCCACATCAAATGTTGGTGTTGTGCTTGACCCCATCGGAACCATCATGGAAAGCACTTATCCAATGGTTAAAGATTGCATTGATGATCCCATCTATTTGAAAGATAGGGCTATATGAGCTCCAACGTTAGATGTTGTTGACTCCATCAATGAATATATGCCATATTTGAATCAATCTGAGGGTAATACTTATTTAAGTTTTGATATCACATGCAAATCCGATGGTGGTGTTGATTTCTTGCATGACTTGCACATGCTGGAGTTATTAAATAGTATAAAATGTTATGGTGTTCCAAATCATGAGTTGCACTTAAAGGTTGGGACTCCTGTCATGTTGTTGAGAAACATTGACTATTTGATTGAACTGTGTAGTGGAACACGCTTGGTGATAACGAAGCTTTCCACTTACGTGTTCGAATGTAAGATTTTTACATGATCTAATGCTGGACATAAGGTATTGTTACTAAGACTTTTTCTAACTCTATCTGATCTCAGGATACCCTTCAAGTTTCAGCGTAGACAATTCACTCTTATGTTTTCTTATGACAATCAACAAGAGCCAAGAGCAGTCGTTATCCCATGTCGGACTTTACTTGAAAAGACTTGTGTTTAGTCATGGTCAATTATACGTCGACGTGTCTCGAGTCACTAATCCACAGGGATTGAAAATATTAATATGTGGGGACGATAATGGGGAAAATAAAACTATAAAAAATGTTGTCTATCGAGAAGTTTTCCACAATTTGTAATACCATAAAATATTTTACTTTTACTATCTATTCAATAATAATGTTATTTATTTGTTATTTATTTGTCATTTACTTTTTATTATATATATATTAATGTATTTATTCTAACATTTTAATAAATATGTTCCGTGCATAGCACGAGTGAAGATACTAGTATATATATAAAGAGAGAAACTATTTACCAAAAATAGTAGCAAAAGTAGGTCAGTATTTAATGCAGCCCAAGTAGTTTTATTATTTTTCTTTTTTCTTTTATTTAAAAATCATACAATTTAATTTATAAATACGCTTTAATATAATCATACAATTTAATTTATAAAAATCATACAATTTATTTTTTTCTTTGAAAATATGCTTTAATATATATAGTACTTTTTGTAATAAATTCAAATAAAATGTGTTACTTAAATATCTAAACAATTTAAAAATTTAAATATTTAAATTAATCGATAAACAATTTGTAAATCTCTATTTTATAAATATGTAATTTTTTTAAAAATAATTTTAAATATAATAAAATTTATTTAGAAAATCGTATCAATCCTACCAGTTCAATCGACTGGTGTTGACAAATTCAATAGCAAATATTTTATCCAAGCGAACTAGACTGGTTATAAACCGGTTATCGGTCCATCCAGTCGGACTGTGTCAAACGATGAGTAAATCTTGATTAATTTATTGTATATTTAACTAATAACACAATCGTAATATTGTTTTCACGTGCATAGCACGGGCCACACACTAGTAATAATAAAAGCAGTCATCCATGCTTTCGTTGGCAACATTGATTGAGGCCCAATTGGGGTTTGAATAGGGTTGGACTGGAGTCACTGGACACAATACAATTGTCATTTTGGCGCGCAACTTTGCCGCCAAAAACTTCTCACTGTTTGGTGGAATAATAAGAGAGGTATTGATGGTGGTGTGGTGGTGCCCTAATTGAAGTACGTACCCCTCTCACGCACAGAGCACGCAGTAATCAGAGACCTCGCTAGTGACAATGGCGAGCAACGGCGATGAATCACCCAGATCCGGCGCCGGCGCCGCGAACGAGAACCCCGCGTCCGCAGCATTCAGTTCAGACCAGCTGCCGATGAATTCCAGTCAAAATTACACGGACGACGATGGAGAAGCGTCTGTCGATGCTGAAATAATCAGAGACGAAGAAGAAGACAACATCAACGACGAAGAAGATGACGAAGGAGAAGACCTCTTCAACGACCAATTCATGAAGTCGGTGTTTCATCTTATTTTCGGCTTTGTAATTAATTGCTTGCTTTCCCCCCTATTCATGGTGCGTTGATTGCAGTGATTACCGGAGAATAGGGAAGCAGGACCAGTACGAGACCTTGGGTCTGGATGATTCCTTGGAGGATGATAGGGATTTGGACCAGATTATGGCCGACCGCAGAGCTGCTGAGATCGAACTTGATGCAAGACAACCTTCTCGTTCTCACCGCAAGTATCCCCAGATTCTTCACGACCAAGGTAATCTCCTTTTTCATTTTTTCACTGTCCCTCTCACCGTTATGGATCTGTACTTTGGTATAGATTACAAGTGTATTGTTCCTTTTCTCCATTCTGTTCACAAATTTGAAGAATAATTCCAGGGACACTCATCGAGTGGGCCATACCAAGGCTCGAAAGACATAATAAGTCAATTTATTCAGTGTTTTTTTTTTCTGAAAAACTGTATACTTTTGATGTTTGTAGAGATTGTTAAGTACTGTTCTGTAGTTGGATTAATTATCTTGCTGCATGACCATTGACCTCAGTGTTGTTCTGATCACAAGAAAAAAACTGCAACACATGGTGATATAAGAATGAGGTTTGACTTTAGGTATGGGTTAAACTACAAGCAGAGGTAGGTCTTGGGCTATGTTCGCTAATTGAGTCTGCCCATGCGATATATTTGTCACAATCAATTTGGAAATGTTTTGCTGACTCAAGCTAATAAAAATGATGCTGTAATTGCGCAGACCATTTTGATAGCCTTTGATGTTGTCTTAAGCTATTATTATGTGAAATGTGAACTGCGACGTTAAATGACCAAGATACTTAATTTCAGACACCGATGATGATGAAGGGAGGCCGCCAAAAAGAACTAGAGCTGACAGGCCGCCGAATACTCCAACCAGCATGGATGATACTGATGGGATACCCAGTTCACCTGGTAGATCACAAGGAGGGAACTTCAGAGACGATGTATCCATGACTGATATGGACGATGTATGTATTTCAGTTATATATTATTAGGAATGTGAGAAGCATTATTAGGAATGCCCTGATAAAAGGTGCTATCTCTATAGGATGAAGAGAACGAGGAAGGTGATTATGAGATGTATAGAGTTCAAGGACCCCTCAGAGAGTGGGTTACGAGAGATGAAATTAGGCGTTTCATTGCCAAGAAGTTCAAGGAGTTCTTGCTTACTTATGTGAATCCAAAAAGTGATCATGGAGACTTTGAGTATCTAAGGCAGATTAATGAAATGGTGGCGGGTAACAAACTTCCCCCTGAAAAAAATTGAATATTATCTTTACGCCCTAATATGGGTGAATTTAGTAGTTTGTTTGAGTTTGGCTTCATCCAGCCAGTGATCCCACTATGACATTTTCAGTTGCGAATTAACTTAATTCATTTTTACCTGCAGTTAACAAGTGCAGTCTGGAGATTGATTACAAACAATTTATCTTTGCCCACCCGAACATTGCAATCTGGCTAGCAGATGCTCCTCAGTCGGTTCTTGAGGTTATGGAAGAAGTTGCGAATAAGATTGTTTTCCAGTTTCATCCAAATTACAGCAAAATCCATCAAAAGATATATGTGCGCATCACCAACCTGCCCGTGTATGATCAGATACGCAATATTCGGTAACATTTGTTTGAGTTTAGAAATTACTTACTTGAGAAATGTGGATGGGTTTATTGTAATTTGTGCAATATGCTTTCCATTGTGATCTGCAGGCAGATACATTTGAACACCATGATTCGTATTGGTGGAGTTGTGACAAGACGTTCTGGAGTCTTTCCTCAGTTGCAGCAAGTTAAATATGACTGTAACAAATGTGGGGCAATTCTGGGACCTTTTTTCCAGAATTCTTACTCAGAGGTGAAGGTTGGTTCTTGTCCAGAGTGCCAATCGAAAGGACCATTTACTGTTAACATTGAACAGGTAGATACCCTCATGCTCTTTCTAGCTATTAAATGCAACTTATAATGATAATTTCTGTGAATTTTCATTCTTTACACAGACAATATATAGGAATTATCAGAAACTTACTCTTCAAGAAAGCCCGGGCATTGTTCCTGCTGGTCGACTTCCAAGATACAAAGAAGTGATACTGTTGAATGATCTCATTGATTGTGCCCGACCAGGGGAAGAGATTGTAATTTTCTCACATCTTTAACCTTCAATTTATGCTCTACCAAGTTTATCAGTATTATTCACCTCTCATGTGGCAATTTTTTTCTCCAATATCCAGGAAGTGACTGGCATATATACCAACAACTTTGACTTGTCACTGAATACAAAGAATGGATTCCCCGTATTTGCCACAGTTATTGAAGCAAATTACATCTCCAAAAAACATGACCTCTTTTCAGCCTACAAGCTTACCCAAGAGGACAAAGACGAAATCGAGAAGTTGGCCAAAGACCCAAGAATCGGAGAACGGGTAAGTCAGTGTTAATTGACTGCGTTCTATTGATGTGTTTGTTTCCTGCCTAAGTCTTTACTTTTGGTTTTGCTTGTCAAATAATTCAGATTATCAAGTCGATCGCCCCATCAATCTATGGTCATGAGGACATAAAGACTGCAATAGCTCTTGCTATGTTTGGTGGTCAAGAGAAAAATGTTGAAGGCAAACACCGTCTGCGAGGGGATATAAATGTACTGCTTCTTGGTGATCCTGGAACAGCCAAGTCTCAGTTTCTTAAGTACGAAATATCTTTGTATTTATTTCGGTTCAAGGAATTAAGATCTAAGAATCTAAACCCCTAAAAAAGTTGAATACGTCTCGTTTGTTGGTAGTTTAAGGTTATTTTGGATTTCAAATCCTTACATTAAATATTTTTAACTGTCTTTTTTGTTATGGAGCATAAATCATTAAATCTTACCAAGACTGGAGTCTCTGCCTAATTCCAGTTGTCAACGCTTACTCCTTTTATAACTCCACTTCATGGCCGGATTGCCCTTTTGAGAACTATACCAGCCTTATATTATGGAATAAATTATCAGGTATGTTGAAAAGACTGGACAGAGAGCAGTTTATACTACTGGGAAAGGAGCTTCTGCTGTAGGTCTCACAGCAGCTGTTCACAAAGATCCAGTTACGCGGGAGTGGACTTTAGAAGGAGGCGCTCTTGTTTTGGCTGATAGAGGCATATGTCTTATTGATGAATTTGATAAGATGAATGATCAGGACAGGTAAAATATTGATTTTCGAGGCATTTCTACTCGATTGCTGCATTGTCTTGCTCATAAGAACCTACTGTAATCCAGGGTAAGCATTCATGAAGCAATGGAGCAACAGAGTATTAGCATATCAAAAGCTGGAATTGTCACATCTCTCCAGGCTCGCTGCTCTGTAATTGCAGCAGCAAATCCTGTTGGAGGAAGGTAAATAGAAGTCACCTTCTACTGATACTGTAGTGTATTAATGTCAACTTTGTCAAGTAGTAATTCCTTCTGTGATGTCAGACAGTTATTTAGGCTGACATACAACATTGCTTTCTGAGCACTTTATTTATTTATTTATTTTGGCTTAAGCGTGTTGGTTTCTTCCTTGTAATCTGGTTCCATCTGGAACCACGAGTCCAACAAAGAATCTCAAGAAAGTATTTTGGATATTAAGAGAAGTAATACAGAAATGCTTCTATAACAATGCTTTGGTTTTTATACTGCCTTTTGTTTAAGTAAGAATTGACTTCACTTTGACCAGAAAATAGGCAGGGAGCAAACTCTGTTTTAAGCTTTTAACTTGATCTTCAGCTTAACATTTCTCTCTTAAATCTTCTCTTGCAGATATGATTCCTCAAAGACATTTACACAAAATGTGGAATTGACCGATCCAATTATTTCCCGCTTTGATATTCTCTGTGTGGTCAAGGTCTATTTCTTTTTTAATTTCATCTTAATTCAGCGTTGAACTTATAATTATTAATTGTTTTAATACCTTAGGTCTTTAAAAAAATATATCTAATGTATGCAGGATGTGCCTGATCCTTTATTGGATGAGATGCTAGCACAATTTGTAGTTGATAGTCACTACAATTCGCAAGCTAAAGGTGGCAGCTTTGAGGATATACCTGTGAGTAATTCACAGGATGGAGACCAAGATTCATTGAGACAAACGGATCCTGAGGTCTTAATCAGAATATCCCTTTTTTTTTCCTGCCAAGTTGATTGCCTATATGTGTTTCGGTCTCTGTAAAAGTATTTCCTTTTGTTCAGATAATTCCCCAAGAGTTGCTAAAGAAGTACATAACATATGCCAAGCTGAATATTTTTCCAAGGCTGCATGATGCAGATCTTGACAAGCTTACACAAGTCTATGCTGAATTACGCAGAGAATCTTCGGTGAGATTTAACTTTTGGCATATATATAGCATCCTTCATGAAGCAATATCTGATGCCTTCAATTGAATCTGAAACTGATTAACTCCATGGATGAATGGATGAATGGTCTTGTTTTATTTGACTTTTGTAGCATGGACAAGGAATTCCTATAGCAGTTAGACACATAGAATCAATGATACGGATGTCTGAAGCCCACGCAAGAATGCACCTTAGGCAACATGTCACTCAAGAAGATGTGGACATGGCTATCCGAGTTCTGCTGGAATCCTTCATTTCAACACAAAGGTTCGGCGTGCAGAAAGCTTTGCAGAAGGTACCCTATAGAGCCAGTCGAACGTCAGTTTTACATATTAATTTTTGAGGCCTATACCTTTCTATTGTCACATCTGTTACCTCTTGTGTTCTATGAAGTACTTGAGAGATAAAATTTACAGACTCCGTAATCCATTATATGTGATGCATATATAATTGTTTTTCTCAAACTTGCTGCAGAGCTTCAAAAGATATATGATTTTCAAGAAGGATTTCAATGGAATAGTTCTCCACCTTCTACGAGTACTTGTGAAGGATACCCTGCACTTTGAACAAATTCTGTCTGGTTCCACGGCAAATCTTTCTTATGTTGATGTGAAGGTTGAAGAACTGCGAAGCAAGGTATATTCAATTTAGATCAGTGTTTTGGAATGTTTTCTTTTTTTTTTTTTT